TAGCACATTTTAGTATATGTTTTAATTTATTAATTACTAGTATATTTTGGGGTAGTATTTGTTTTATTTTTTTAAGTTATTTGTTGTTTTTAATGGATTTTTAAAAATCATGCTACATTTTTAACATGATTGAATGAATGATCAAACAAGTGTAACACTGATTTATATTTCTATTTTTTAATTGAAGTATAGTTGATAGATTTCTATTTCTTGTATAGTTAATATACAGATATTAAATGCTATGTTTCCTTAGGCAAGTTGATTACTTTCTTTTAGCCTCAATTCCTCTATGACATAGTATAGTAATAATACTTAACTTTCAGCATTATAGAGGTAACATTACATCATTAATGTGAAAGCACTTTGAAAACTATTTAATTATCATTTTAATTTTTATTCCTCTACCCAGTGGGGCAGTGGTTTAATCACACACGCCCGTACATTTCCCGCTAGAGTCCACTTGTCCGGGAAGACGTCCAGGCTGACAGGAGATGTGCGTGAACAGATGTAAATTATTGTAATCCTGTGGGCATTGACTTGGTGTCCAGCGTTGCCTTTCCCAGCTAATAGCTCACGGCTCAGAGCATTTTGGTTTTAGCTCTTCCCCACTTTGCCTTTGGGCTCGTTCCCTACATGCTGACCCAGCATCCCTTCTGCTCCAGCATCTTGTTGGCTGAGCCAATCACAGCATGTGCTTGGACTGTCCTCTCTAGGCTTCCGTCCTGTCACCTGTGAATTAGATGACTCTAAGGCCTTCCATATCCGACACCAACTCATTTCCGAGCCTGTGTATGTATCTATCTGCTGTGCTGATCACTTGCTGTTTATCCACCTTCTCATTCACACCAACTCTTCCTCCTTCACTAAAATGCAGCCACACAACCTTTTGCAAAAACCAGTGCTGAATCCAGATAAGGCTATCTTACAAAATACAGACATGAAAAGGCAGAGTTTCACTCTCCGTTAGGGCTTGTGAAGAGCTGTTGTAACCAGCACAATGAACCATTATTGCTCTTAGTTCAAATCCAGACCCTGCCGCTGACATACCTCCTATTGTCTCGATTACTCCGAGTTTTCATCCGTAAATTGGGGACACTAATGTATCCCACACTGAGCATGTTAGAAAACTTCCTGGCACAAATCTGGTACTGAATGAATATTATCATTTCACACCCTACTGATTCTGACACCCAGACATCAGAAACCTTGATTGTTTCTTGATTTTGTTTTTGACACATAAAAAGAACATGTGTTTATCATTTGAGTTCATTTGTCCAGTTTAATCTATCACAAAGTTGCCAGTTGGTGATTATATGATCCTTAAGAAGCATAGAATGTTTTAGTAAATAAGTTAAGACATCCAGTGACTTTCCTGGCTGTCATGGCTCGGTGGTTGAGCATCGACCTATGAACCAGGAGGTCAGGCTTGATTCCAGGTCAGGGCACATGCCCGGGGTTGTGGACTCAAACCCCAGTAGGGAGCGTGTAGGAGGCAGCCAATCAATGATTCTCTCTGATCATAGTTGTTTCTATATATCTCTCTCTCTTTTCCTCTCTGAAATCAATAAAAATCCATATATATAAAAGCCTAAGTGACCAGCTGACCGGCCGACCATCCATAGCTATGACGTGCAATGACCACCAGGGGCCAGATGCTCAACGCCGGAGCTGCCAAGCTGTGGTGACTTGGCAGCTGCGATTCTCTGGTGACATACCCGGAACCAGAGAGGAGAGAGCCCGATTCCAGGGTGTGTAACCCGAGAACTGCCCTCTTGTAATCCAGGACCCCTCAGAGGATGTTGGAAAGCCAGTTTTGGCCCAATGCCCGCAGGCCAGGCTGAGGGACCCCACCGGTGAATGAATCCATGCACCAGGCCTCTAGTATATTATAAAAAAAGACATCCAGTGACTTGATATTCCTTTTCCTTTTCTAATACTCACATTGTTTAATGACAAAACTAATTAATTAGAAAGCACATCTTTATAAATACACTTTATTAGTTCATAAATAATAATTTTTTTTAATATATTTTATTGGTTTTTTTTTTTACAGAGAGGAAGGGAGAGGGATAGAGAGTTAGAAACATCAATGAGTGAGAAACATCGATCAGCTGCCTCCTGCACACACCCTACTGGGGATGTGCCCGCAACCAAGGTACATGCCCTTGACCGGAATCGAACCTGGGACCCTTCAGTCCGCAGGCTGACGCTCTATCCACTGAGCCAAACTGGTTAGGGCAATAATTTTTATCTTAAGAAGGAATATTCAGTATCCCTCCTAAGGGATTGTAAACTAGGTTTGATGAATGAGCTGTAGGAAAGACCTAAATTCCTGATATTATATTCAAATTTGTGTGTTTTTTCTCGTGAGAGTGTCCCTAGTCTTCAACAAATTTAAAAGGGTCATTGACATTCTAATGTTTGGGAATCATGGCTTAAAGTGAAATAAATTAGATTTTTAGGAGGGGGCAGTTTTAATTTAGAGAATAAGTGAGTTTTAATTTAGTTACTGCCAATGTCAAATTATTGCCTTCTTTATTTTAATAAAGTTCTATACAGAACTGCAAAAACCAACTTGAATACAAAAGAACTATAGAGTTTAGAAAGGTTTTTTCTTTATTTTTATTATTTTTAACTTATATAGGTTTGTGGGAAGTATTACCAAAAAAATTCAGAATATTAAACCAGATACACTGCATTGAGCTTTACATGATGTTTCCTTAAAACCTCAGGGATTAGGATTATATTATACAAATGTGTACCTTTGGGTGCTGAAATGAAAATGCCGTGCCCGGCAGCCAGGCAGATGCCCTGCCCTCCTTAGGACCTCGCAAACAGAGTGCGCAGGCCCGTCACAGACAGGGTCCCGACGCCTCCTCTCACGGCCTGTCAGCCTCGAGAGAGGGCCACCCCGGGACAGTTGGTGATGGGACCCTGGGCCCAGGTAAAGTGACTCTAACGATTGGGAGTGGCTCCTAGGAAACGGCGGGTGCTCCTTCCTCACACCCCCCCACAGAGGTCAAGGTCTCCAGCTATCTGTATTCCAGCCTAAGGCTCATTCATGGGCCTATGACCTAGACTATGGGTCATGAATATTCAGGTCCTGAAGAGAGAGGCAGGTCCCAGTGTGTGCACCTGCCAGTGGCCTCACCCCCACAGGGGCAGCCCTCTGAGCGCCCGCCTTCCCAGTGTGACATTAGCAAAAGGAGTGGAAATGGCTGTAACATCACTGATGGTTAAAATTACCTTCATGTGAATGACAAGTTAGCATTTAGGAACCATGGCACTAGATGGCATGTTAACCACCTGCGACTGCTGACAGCCACGTCACTCCACTGCGGGGGGGAGAAGGGATTCAGGTCGGGAAGACGGGCGCACGGCTGCCCTCGGATGCCCAGGCGCCTCATCATTGTTTTTCAGTCCACTTGGAAATGGGCGCCACATGGCCCGGAGGAATGTGCCGGGGTCACTGAGTGCGAGGGAGCGAGGCAGCCTCCCGTGTCCCGTGGCTGCAGCAGGCCTGTAACTCTAGGACCACGCACCCTGCCAACTGCCATCGTTTGGAAATTGAACCTATGAAAACATATAAATAGTTTTCAGGTCACGATAAAGAGAAATGAAACAGATAAAGCTAGTTCTTGCTTTTGTGTGTGTCAAGCAACTTGACTAGGACCAAATGAACAGAAATTTCACTCATGAGAGCCAGAGGAGCAGACCTAACAGTCCCAAAGCAAACTTTTGTGCTGAACCATTTGACTTTAATAATAAAGTAAAAACCAGAAATCTAGAATTAATCCTCATCACATAAAACTGTTGTGTCTTTCAGAATAGGTGAAAACACTTTAATATAATTTATATTGTTTCTACACATTACATGTAAGAAATAATTTCACTTAATCATAAGTACAATGAATTTGATTAACAAAATTCTAATTTACAAAACAGAAGTAAATATATGCAGAAATATATTCATTATTGAATTATAAAGTTAACAGTTCTTGTTAAGATATCATCAGCTTATTATTCTGTATTTCAGGTGATAGAATGCAGTCATTTTGGTATGCTTAGTAATATTTATAAGTACTAAAATAATGGAACGTTGAGATTTGAGTACAATGACAGTAAACCATGGAAATTTCACATTCACATTATACAGCCATCATCAATCCATAAGTGAATGTTTATAATGTAAAAAAATAGAAAATGATTGTAATATAACCATCTAACCATTAGCGTATGGAGTTTTAAGACAACTATTTTATTTGCTAATTTCTCTGAAGTATAAGCAGTTGCTTTTCTGTCATATGAGACATGTCTTTGTGCCTTAATACTTAATTTGAAATGTCCTTACTGTAAAAATATACCAAAGTAAATAAAAAAGGAGACACTTATTTACAAAAAAATATTGTATACACATTATATAAATGCAGTTGTTTCAAGGTCTTTTATACAATATTGATAGAATCTGTCATTTTTATTGTTTCATCATAAAAACTGCAGTGTTGCAAAGGCAGGCTGTCATTTTTAAATTTTTGTAATTTGGAAATTTTGATAGAAATGAATACTTTTTGGCTATCTTTTTTAAGATAAATCAGTTTCTCCAAGTATACTACAAAAATGGTTCTTCTTGTACTAAAGAAAACGCATTCCCATTTGGAGGTCTATGAAAATGTGCCTGAAGAAAGGAATAGCTCTTTATCTCGCTGAATGTTTTCACTTGATCACCTGGTAACATCAGCCGTTCGGTCTGTTGCATTAGCACCTTCGGTGTGGATTGTGACTGTACTGAACCAGTGAACACAGGAATGGGAGCTTGCATACCGTGTCCCACCCCTAGTTCTGTGGACTTCATCTTACCAAGTATTCTAGCAGACAATATAAACTCAAGTGTGTAAGGATGATTTAAACGATGGACACAACAGCGCTGCATTTCACCAACACTGCACATGGGCTTTGTGTGGCTACCGAATGACACTCTAGACAATGAACTTTACAGCACTCCTTTCGTTCACTAGGCGCAAGGAGGGCTGCTCGCATCGACCCGCTGTGTCGTGCTGTATATACGAACGTAAGTGTAATTTACCTCCTAGTTCAAAACTCTGGGAATCATAGAGCTTCTAGTGTGCGATTTATTTCGATGGTTAAATGCCAATCATTGCATATATTCTCGCTTTTAGTTCGTGTCCTGCGGTGTGTGCTTATGTGACTGTCGCATACTGTAGGCGTAGAGCCTGTGGCACATGATTTCACAGTTTCAAAATTGCTGAGGGGAAGGCCTTCCATGTTTTAGAAAGGTACGAACCAAATATCAATCTCATGAGCACCCACAGCGATCTACTACCATGGCCGGAATTTTCCCATATATTATTTGTTCTTTGCCATTAAAATACAGCATATTAATGGGAGACATCTTTGTGGGAGTACAGCAGGGGCCTGCTGAGCCTCTGGGGTTCGCTTGGTGTACCAGATGAGTATGAGGATATTTTTGTAAAAATACAAATTCACACTCTCCAGAGCAATAATTGGCCTTATATCTTTTGGGGGCAATAATCCAATCCCATCCGAAAGCTTCGAAATCCACAGTTAGAGGGTAACGGCAGCACCGCGACTCTGTTGAGTGCTCGTCACAGTCAAGGCCAAAATCTCTTCTGGATCTTTTTGGTGTGTCTGTTACCTTGACTTCCAGAAAGGGATTCTGGGTAAAAGGGAAAGAACAGTCAGTACCATCCATAGGTCCTGAGACACTTGCCTCTCTCGAGAAGTCATTATGGAAGAAAAACGAATCCTTTTGCTTATGACACGTTTATTTTTAAAAGGCACCGAATTAGGGAATTTTAATTTACACTAGGATTGATTCTTCCCTATGGCTCAAAAGTATTCAACAGCAATACAGCATTTAGTGGATGCTCTGAAAATATTTATAGAATATTTATGAGAAGAAAGGGAGAGAGGGGAGAGGGAAGAGGTTAGGTTACGCCCTCTCTTCTCTCTTGTTGATCAAATATGTGGGCTCTGTCTGCGGACTCCTGGGGAGGTAGGCACACTCCCCCATGCTTCATTCAGGGAATGTGGGTCTGAAAGCAGAACCGAGTAGTCACCCCCAGCACTGTGTGCATTGGAATGGGAAAGGGAAGGGAGGGTGGTGAAGGAGGTGGTATCAGTGGGTTAGAAAGAGAAACTCTATGAGAAGGAGGGACAGATGCAGAAAAAGGTCCAATAACATTTCCTTCATTCTTTCACTGAAAGATGTTTCTAATCAGATATTTAAACAATCATTTTCTAACCCTTCCCCCACACCAATCTTTTCATACATTTGAGACTTTTTCTTTCTACATGAAAAACTCTAAGGAATATGTCATATTAACCACCTGTTTAATAATAACTAACATCTATCACATCACCAACTCTGATCATTAAAATGCTACTTCTAAAAAGAACACTTTCTCAAATAATGAATAATGATTCTTATCCTATACCAAAATCGAGACCTACCAGTCATTGTTATTTAAGATTATAAAAACAGTAATATCATTTTGAGAGTCAATAACATTTTATGTAGCATATTTAAAGAAAAATAGGTCATTTGGAAAACTGAATATTTTCTTTAAGAATATGTTTTCATTAAAGTAGAGCTTACTTAATACCACTTAGTAAGAAAATTAAAAAGGCAACATTTATTGCTTGCAAGGATAATCTTTTGTTGTAAATTATGTCAATAGATGGAAGTGAAAATACGGTCACATTAATCCATTTTTGTAAACACAAGCATAAGTAAACAGAAACTGAGTAGCTCTAAATTTACACTAGGTTTTAAAGTTGTTTTTATTAATTTTTATAATATAGAGGGCATTGTCATCTCCTGGGTCTGATATGAAATTAGTTGGCATACCCTAAGTAAACTCTTGAATATTTACTCTTGAATGGTAAGGCAGCTCAGAAATAAACTAGGCAGCTCAGGGTAACTAGCCTGAGCATTAAATTTTATTAGCATGAGTCACAAAGTAATCTACATATACATTTGCACTAACAGCCTACAAAATAATGAACACACTTATGAGGGACCTTTAACATAGTGTATAAGACTAAGCCTATTGTACTTAGTTCATTGCTATAAATAAAAAGCATTTTATTTTAATTATAACTTATAAAGCTCCTTTTTTTAATGCTTTATTAAGGCAGAAAGATTCAACACATTGCACGCTGGAGTAGGGGAGGGGGAGTTTAAGTTTCTTGGATATGTACTCAAATCCACTATGAAGATTTCATGTTTGTATTCATAGAATCATGTAGAGCATATCCAGTCTCAATTCAAAAGAACTGCCTAAGAAGTTAAGTACCTTTTAAAAAAAATCCTGATGCAAAGTAAAAGTATCAACAGGCTGTTCCACAGGGCATGAAATTAGAGACCCGCTTTTATTGGGTACAGGGCTAGGTACCTGTGCTCGGCTGGTGAGCATAGGGATCGGTGGCTCTTTTTCAATGACTTGTGCCCATTCTGATGAAAACCTAACGAGGCTGTGAGAATGCCGCTTTCTCTCATCACTTACCAGCCCATCCTCTCCCGGTCCCGGGAAGGTCACCGCAAGATCACGACCATTCTCATCTAAAGCTTTGATTTCAATGCCCAAGTTGGATTCGGGTTGTTTGAGCCAGTTTTGCAACACGGTCTTCACATCGATGCTCTGCCAAATGCCAGCGCCTGGGCTCATGTCGAGTTTCAGGGATCGGATTCCCGTGTACCTCGTCCCGTCTTTCATGGGCTTGACGAGCCTCAGGATTTGCACAAACACCGTCGTGGGCGTCTTGACGGGTCTCAGATAGATCCACAGCTGGGCCTTGACCACCTTATTGAATTGTATTTTAGAGCTGAACTTAAAGAAGCAGCATTTGGGTTTTCCTTCCACTTGCGTCAGAAGATCAGCTAAAAAATGAATCAGAAAAGAGTTACTGAAATTATTTCTCATTTAAAAAATGAAGAAACCCTTTCATATTAACTGGTGAGTATTTTTTCTATTGGATTAATGAATGTATATTTAGTCTTTTAAGATGAAAAACTGTAGGATTTCATTCATAACTCAGAAAAATATCCAAGAAAAGAATGACTCTAGTTCTTCAGAATTTTTTAGATGTTTTTTCAGCTGTTTATGAGGAATCTGCTCCCTTTCCAGAGAACTGTGGACTCGGGGAAACCCTGAGAAGGAACGAACAGCGGATGAGATTTTAAAATGATGATGATTAGAGAGAACAAGAGACACCGTGGAGGAACATCCACTTAGAATTCTTTGGGAATCTGAGCAGTTACACTCACTGAGCAGCTGTACCAGTCAGTCTGGAGCAGGAACCCTCCCCCCAGGCCGGAATTACCTGGGGACAAGACACTGAGCCGCAGCGAGCCTGGGCAGTGAGCAGAAAAGACAGGACGTCGGCTACGTGTGGGCTCTGGAATAGCGTTTTAAAGGATCGAACCCAGGCAGGTAATTAGTTAAAGGTTAACTTGGGGCTGTTTGAAAAGTTAGAAAGCGCGTCTTTGATGCCAGGCTGTCGGTGTGAGCAGAAGCCCTTGGAAATGTCTCTCCTCTTGGTTTCCCTGAGATAGTTTATAAATAAGGCAGATCTGCTCCGGGACCAGCTGATAACGGAGTCTTCAAGGAAAAGCCTTAGTTGCATGATCACCTGATGACTGGACAGGGAGAACAATATTTTGAACCTGTCTCGAGCCCGGTGTAAAGGGCAGAAAGCACTGTATAAGGCAAGACCCGCAGACACACGGCACCCAGTCGTTCTGGTCGTGCTTCTGTGAAGGTGCCTGGCTCCCTTCCTTGGACTGTAGTTTTGAACTCACTGCAGAAGGAGTTGTATGACATATATTCTCTTTCAGGAGCAAGGTAGATACTACAGATAGTCGTCCTCCCGCCCCGAAGAGTTGGACAATATTTTAGAAGTTCTTAGGCAGTGTGCCTGCCTGGAAATATGCAGGCCGGAGGCTTGCAGCCATAGCGCTGTGGTCCAGCTTCAAGCAGGGCTTGGTGAGCCATAACCTGCTCGGCTGAAGGGTTTGTTTCTTAGGCATTTTCCGATAATTAGCGCTTGATCATCATTATGCTGTGTTTGCTTTGTCATTGCACGTTTTAATATACTGCATTTAAGAAATACTTTCTCATACTCTCCAGTGTAATCGCTTTTAAAATTAAATAGCTTAATTTGCGAAGAACACAGACACCCTGTGGGGAATGGTTTTGAATTCCAGGAGTCATTCCAGGTGGCCAGCAAATGCTCAGCGGGGCTTAGACGTACAGCCACCGCCCCCCACCTCCCTACCCCCATCCCTGTTCTCAGTGAAAAGCCTCATCACTAGACATGCGTGTTTCAAGCAAGCAAATGCAAGCATGGGTTGTATGTGAGTTGTAACGTGGCTTGTGGCTCCTCTCCTAGTGGCCTTGGTGCTGGTGACTGTGGCAGCCTGGCACGGTACCTCTGCCCCATCCCACTAAGCACCGTGAATGCGTGGCGAGCACTTTCAGATCTGAGTCTCATGAAATCCTGAGAAAACAAAGCAAAGCTGTGGTCCCTCCTACTTACATAAAACCCCGGCTTGTTAGGGCCGTGCCTCACACACCCGGGCGGGCAGCCGGCCGGGCCGTGCGGGCGGCTACTCACGTGCTGTGGGCATGGCGATGACCGTCTCCGTGGTGGCGTGGTAGTCGTCCTCCTCCAGGGAGCCCTCGCTGCCGCCGTCCCGCTGCACGTCGTCCTGGTCGATGAGCTCCCGCAGCGGCGGGGCCCGGGGCAGGAGCTGCCGGACGGCTTCCTTGCTGATGTTGGGCGCCGTTTCCAGGCGCAGCTTGCTGAGGATCTGGATCTTTATGGCTTCTATCCGGGACGACTTCGTGTTCTGCCTCCAGGCGCACGCGTTGCACGGCCCCTCTTTCTCCGCATCGCCTTTCTGCTCGCCGTTCTCACTCAGGTCCACGGGGCCGGCGACGATCAGCATGAACAGGTAGATGGACACATAGACTTGCAGCTTTTGCATGATGTAGAAGCTGTGCAGTCTTTTCCTGCTCCTTTTCCTCCTTTGCTTTTGAGTAATGCCAAGCAAAGGGGAATGCCTGGACAGTCGGAGACGCCAGTGGCCACCCAGGGAATCTTGCACGCTGTCTTCCAAGTGGCTTTTTATATTCCGACTCGGATGAGACCAGTGTCGTCAGGACCTGTGATTGGCTCCGGCTCCACAATGAATCTCGCTGTCAGAGGTTAAACCCTGTCTGTCACAAGTCACCAAGCAGTGTTCTGTTACAGGCCAGGGCGGGCTGGTGCCTCTGCGTGCTTCATAAAAGAAGGAAATCTACAGATCAGCGGAGGGAGAGGTGACAGTTGAGAAATGAAAGTATGTAAACAATAACATCAACTGCACTTCAGTCTGATTCATCTGTACATGTGGGACTCTTCAGTTATAATTGAAACAAGTAAGTCTCAGTTTACACTTCATATTTTACAAGCTGAAATGTTACTTCCTCAAGAATTAAAAATTATTGTATGCTATTTAAGCAAGCATTTGAAGTAAAAAAAAAAATTATTTGTTGTATTACATTATTTTCAGTCCTGTGGAATTAGGAGAATGTAAATTTAAATTAGGAAGACCTGGATGAAAAGTCACGGATGTCATACTAGTAAAAGGTTTTCAGCTCTAATTTGAGAAACTTTTTTCCTGACTACATTTTTAGCACATGTTGAACATCATACTTATCATAATGTTACAGTGCACATGGAATTATTTTTAAATAATTTAATATATTTTATTCATATAAAAATTGTGCTCATTTTTTTTTATTATTTACTATTGTTATTTCCTATTCTAAAATTACAGACGAATATCTCTCAGAAGATGTACTGCTTCATAGTTTATTACCAAGAGCATACTGTGAGCCAGTAGAAAATTCCTGAACTTAGAATAAAAAAAGGAGTGGACTTTCTGACAAGCAACGTAGCACCTACTGCATCCGCCTCAGATGCCAGCGGTAAAAGCAAGACGTGGTCTCTGGCCCCCAGAAATTATGTCAGAATATTGTGAGCACTCAAGGGAAGCGCTCCACCATCAAAGGGTACCCGTTCCCCCCAATACTGTGATGGGTTTGCACCCCTTTACCGTTTCTCATTTTGACCAGAGGGCAGACACCTGGCGGGGCTTGTGGGGGGACGGGGGGGGTGGGGGTCGGGGAGCAGAGGCGGGGTTCTGTGCTCTACACCTGAGTGGCCCCTGCAGGGATCGCACTCACCCCCTGAGTTTCGGGGCCAGGAGCCCAGCAGCCCCGCCAGCAAGAAGCAGGGCTGTCCCCCCACTCCTCTGGGGGAAGCTCAGGGCTCCTAAGAGAGCTAATCCGTTACTCTTTTTCCCCCCAAGGGAGTGCCATGGTTAATATCAAATATTTATTAATTTTAGGTCACTACCACCTTTGCACATTGTCCACTAACTGCCTCAGTGCACTAAAATGCAACTCAGTAGCCTGAAAAGTTAATGCATTTTCATCAAATTCTTAAGAGGCATCTACATCTCTTGAGAAAAAAATGGCCTTACATAATGCATTAGATCTGCCCATCGTTAAAGATTAAGGAAAACCAGACACAAGCCAGATGCCCAGAGGATTTCAGATCCTCCTTGTTGTAGGCCAGTGTGAGACCAGACTTACAAGGCTTTGTTTGGTAAATTTATTTTTGAACGTATGAATCTTTATAATATTATCATAAGTGTAACATGAGTAGTTGAACCTTTTTTAAAAAAATTAGAATTGCGGAGCTGGGCTCTGGAGCCACGCCGCCCTGAGTTCAAGTCTCACCTGCCACTCCTAACTACACGATAATGGATGTGCCAGCGCCGTCGGTGCCCTCGGGCAGTTTTGGGGAGTGTAACTTAATAATGCATGTAAATTGCTGAATACAGCGCCTGTCATATCGCAAGTGATTGATAACGGGACTGAGTGCCTGGTTTTTGTTTCACGCAGAGGGGTTTGGGCCGTGCTTAACTTTATCCTCCGCAGGAACCAGAACCGCCGCAGGGGTAGCTGCCAACGGCCACCGCGCACGGCCACCCCGCGGGCCCCGAGGCAAACAAGATGTTCGCGGCTGCCCTTGGCGGGCGGCGGGCAGCGGGCGCTGCAGTCCTGCTCTTGCTTCTCGGAATAAATAAGCAGAGGCTGTCGCTTCCCCAGATGGCCAGCCTCGCCTACTCATGGATTCCATACTGGCCAGTGTGCCGCTGCTAAGACTGATTTATCTTTAACCCCCACGTCGATATTCAGGGGCTTCCGTGGTCAGCGCAGAGTGGTGAGCATGTTGAGGCTCCGACACGGGTCCCAGGGGGGTCACCAGGCCTGGCCGCGGCTCCCCTGCTGGACACAGTGCTCTTCGCAGCCCGCTTCGTGCCGTCTTTCTCACGTCGGTGTGTCCTTTTCAGGGGGGGCGGGGCGGGGAGGTGATTCTGCTGCAATAAATGGCCCCCAAGACCCTGCTGAAGTGCGTGCTCCACAGGGAAGGGGTGGGGGGAAGGAGGGTGGCTGGAGGGGGGGGGCGCGGGGGGTCTGGGGACACTGCACTGGGCGGTCACAGCCCTGGCGGGGGCGGCAGTGACAGCTGCCCCGCGTGTAAATGCACCGCGTACCCCTGAACTGCACACGCACCTGGTGAAATGGCCACATTTATGTTATGTATATTTTACCACATTTTTTTTTTTAAAAGGAGGTTGTGATATGACAGGAAAAAATTTCCTTATGGAACAATGAGTGTTAGACAAGCTTTGTTCAGACTTGAGTCACAGTGCTTTGGGCCTGGAGTTCAATGCTAATGAATCAGTAATGCCTATTAAATAAGATCTCTTCCCACAGGAGCCCCTATAAAGCTCAGTTACCCCCTGGTCAGTGGGCGAGAACGGGAGCCTTGCCTGCACCGCCCCAGGCGTGGGGGCTCGGGGTCCCCTCTCCAGTGGAGCCCTGACTGTGGACCGTCACCACCGTGAACAACGAGAGTCAGCGACGTCTCGCTGGCTCCAGTAAAGGTCAGTCCTGAATGAGTGTGTGAAGGACTGAAGAGCACGCCTTCCTTTCCCAGTGGCAGGGATTGCACGGTCCCCAGGGCCCAGGCAGCCGGGCCCCAGCTGTAGGACCTGTCCTGACTGCGGGGCCTCCCGCTCAGGGGGAGCAGGGGGCAGGTTCCTGTGAGGCCTGAGCAGAGGAGAGCTTGGGGGCCGGCTGTGGCCTGGTCTCGGGGTGGCCGTCTCTGGAAGTGTTTCTCACAGGAGCTCGCGTGGAAGTGGCCAGGGAGGCCTTCCCAAGCCTCGCGTTTGTCCTGCCCTGGCCCTCCTTGTCCTGGGCGGCCTTAGCCTTCTGTGACTCTGAGCAGGGGGCAGGCAGGTGTCTCTCGCCTCTGCTACAAACTCCAGGGGAGGGGTATAGAGTGTATTGCATATACTTTATAAAGAGAGCATAAAGTATATTTCCCTCAAAAATGTTTACTCTTTACAGTCTGGGGACTCCTGGGTGCAGTCATGTAAAGACACCTTAGCTCAATGCTGTGGACAAAGGAAGGAGGCCGAGACCAGAAATTAGAATAAGAATGGATCCTAATTGCAGCTCTGTTGTGGGGAAAACCCAGAAAGTTCTACTTTAGCTGAGCACCCTTGCCGTTGCCTGCATGTTGGTATCACTCTATGCTGGTTATGCTTACGGCTGGGAACAAGCCACATGGAGCCCAACTCACATAATAGCCATCTCCCATGGACGAGACCTGATTATCCACTTTCAACAGATTGTAGAACAAAAACCAACAAAAACCGAAGTATCTGTGAGCTAGGGAGCAACAGTCCAGGCACAGAACACGGGGGCCCAGAACACGGAGATAGCCTGACTCTGTGGCTGATAGTTGTGTGACCCTGAATGAGGCAGTCCGCAGAGACCTCACCTGTGAGTGTGCGCATACTAACTCATGGACTGCTTTATGAGATACTAGAGGCGCGGTGCACAAATTTGTGCACCAGTGGGGTCCCTCGGCCTGGCCTGCGGGATTGGGCTGAAACCGGCTCTCCAACATTCCCCGAGGGGTCCCAGATTGCGAGAGGGTGCAGGCCAGGCCGAGGGACCCCACCGGTGCACGATCAGGGCCAGGGAGGGTTGCAGGAGGTTGGCCAGTGGGGAGGGACCGTGGGAGGGCTCCAGGGCATGTCCAGACCATCTCACTCAGTCCCAATCAGCCGAACCCCAGCAGCAAGATAACCTACCGGTCAGAGCATCTGCCCCCTAGTGGTCAGTGCATTTCATAGCAAGTGGTTGAGCAGCCTTAGCATATCATTAGCATATTACGCTTTGATTGGTTGAATGGCTGACCAGTCAACCAGACACTTAGCATATTAGGCTTTTATTATATAGGATTCTAATATCTACCATGTGCCTGGCACTGTGCTAGCCTCTGAGGAGAAAACAATGAGCCAGACAGACACAGTCACTGTCCTCACGACACCTGATTCAGTTTCTTTGTGTGAAATGGGAGGGAGTTTGGTGAGGTCTGCCTTTCAGTTGAGGTTCATCCCCTAAGACGGGGGTGGGAAACGTCCGGTCCACGGGCCATATAAGGCCTGAGAAATCCTTTGGTCTGGCTCTGCCAAGGCATCAGGGGTGAGTTCATTAAATGTTTGACCAAATAGAGCAGGCTAATTTCTATGTGGATAGCTTTGTCTGGCCTGAGGATGGTGTTATAAATATCCAATGGCCCTTGGCAGAGAAAGGCTCCCCACCCCTGCTCTAAGGCAATAATTCTCAAACTTTTTTGTCTCAAGATTTCTTTATACTCTGAAAAATTCTTTAGGATCCTCAAAAACTTTGACTATATGGGACATGTCTATCAAATACTTACCATGAGAAGTTTAAAATGAGAAGTGTCACACCCTAGCTGGTTTGGCTCAATGGATAGAGCATCGGCCTACAGACAGAAGGATCCTGGGTTCGATTCCAGTCAAGGGCACATGCCAGATGGTGGGCTCCATCCCCAGTGGGGGATGTGTTGGAGGCAGCTGATCAATGATTCTCTATCATCATTGACGTTTCTATCTCTCTCTCCCTCTCTCTTCCTCTTTGAAATCAATAAAAATATATTTAAAATAATAAAATGAGAAGTGCTAGAATACAGGCACATGCAGGCATATATTCTGTCTGCTGGCAGAGTGACGATGTCACATATGGTGGAGCCTCGGGAAACCCCCCTGGACGCGTAAGAAAGACTCCGAAGAGCACAGAAGTCTTAGCATCGTGGAGGTAGTGTGTGCTCCACGGGTTTCTGAAAGGATCTGCTCTGCAGCTGCCCAGACTGTATTTTGAGAGCCATGCCCCAAAGTGATACTTTTTACGCAGCTTTAATTGAGTGGTTTTCCCTAGCTCAGGGTTCCCTCCTCCTGTGACCTATAGCTTTGCTTTTAATGAAACAGCAAATATAGTCATTTTTAAACATTGTGTATTTATTTACTGAGATGTGATTATTGCCAGAGCGGAGATATAAACATTATTTATTATAACCACCAACCACCCACTGGTGGTTACGGAGAGGACCGCCCATCTGTCCGTGCCGGAGAGAGGCGGAGCCTGTGCAGGGGTTTCTGTGGCTGGTCTTCCAGGCAGTCTGGAGATGGTAATACGCATCTTCTCAAATGCCTCGTCTACTGTCCCAGGTAAGACAGAGTTGGCACTCACTCAGCAGAACTCCAAACTCCTACTTCTCCCTCCTGCCTTCCAAAGTGGGAACTCCGGTTCACTGGTTACACATTTGACACAGAGAATAAAAGTAAGCTAGCACTTGGTGTCCTCGTTTTTCGCTGAAGAAAGATGCTAGACTCCAGACTTAGTGGTGCCCTTGTGTGGGGCGTGCCCCTCTACTAGTTCCCGAAGGCGGGCTTTCGTTTCCTTGCTGTCCTTCCGTCCCGCAAGTAGGCCACGCGCTCCTTAACGGTGGGGGTCACGTGGTGCTCTTTGGTCTCTGCAGCTCTTGGTCCAATGCCTATCACATGATCAGGTTGGCAAAAGGGTGTTTGCTGAAGAGTGGAACCAATCAGTGAGTGAGTTTCTCCTTAAACACAAGAAACATCAACTTTCTAAGCTTTCATGGTGTATAATTAGCAGATTTACGGGCTTTCTGAGTGGCCTGTGGGTTTGGGTTTGCTCTGACTACGTTCATAGCACTTGTGTTGGTTCTCTGACCCAGCCTGGCCGGGGAGACTGGTGGTGCTTGCCGCCCTGGTAAGTGCTCTGCCCCAGCACCAGGCACACTGGACAATCCAGTGGAACTTCAGTATTTAATGACCTGTGACCCCCAGAGATACCATGGCTCTGACCAGGGCCCTGGCTAGAGAGTGACCTGTTGGCTAGGGCACCACTGGTTAAGACAACTACAGTCCTTACCCAACAGGCCACAGGAGCATCAGAGGTACCCAGAGAGCTGTGTGTGTGTGCGCGCGCATGTGTGTGCGTGTGCACGCGTGTGTGTGCGTGTGTGTGTGACCAAGGCTGAGATGGGATGATATGCCTTGACAGAGTGGGAGAACCATGACCTGCTTGTCTGGGTCACAGTCTTCTGCCTTCGTGTCCTTCGTTGTAAAGCACTAAGTTTCTCGTGAGCCTTCTCTCCTGCTCCCTCACACCAGCAGGAGGGAGCTCCCCTGAAGCTGTGCTGGAGTTGATCGCTCAGATGAACCCCAGAAGGCATGGCTGTGTGAGTCGCCAGCGGCGGGGCAGCACCCAGCCTGTTTTCAGGATGCACTTTCAAACTCAGTGCCTGACCTTCTCGGGACATCAGTGAGTTCCATAAGTGATTTCATAAAATTTAGTCTTTTTTAAAAATATATTTTTATTGGTTTCACAGAGGAAGGGAGAGGGAGAGAGAAACATCAATGATGAGAGAGAATCATGGATCAACTGCCTCCTGCAGGCCCCACACTGGGGATGGAGCCCACAATCCGGGCATGTGCCCTGACTGGGAATGGAACCCTGACCTCCTGGTTCATAGGTCGATGCTCAGCCCCTGAGCGACACTGGCCAGGCAAAACTTAGTTCCTCATGCGTATTCCAGGTCACCCGGATAACCACCTCACATCGGAGTGCTACTCCCGTGGCTTCGTGTTTGCAGTGTCTCCCAGCAGTATCCACAGGTGAGGTCTCTACTATCGTCAAGTTGGCTTCCAGTGCTACCTGGAGGGATGGGGGTGACTGTGATTTATGGGAGTTTTCAAAGAATCGGTTTTCCTTGGGAAGAAATCTTTACATTATCTGAGCTTCAGAACCCGGCTCAAATAAGGTCCTTGTTGTATCAGCAGCAAAGAAGCATAGCTACTTACGTCCGTTACCCCAAGGCTGTGGCTGGTGTTTGGAAAAGTCTGTGATTCACTCATTTAGCCCTTTTCACTGGACTTCACCTTTATTTTTGTTTATTCTAATGTGCATGCAGTGAGAGAGCTTGGAGGGATGTTTCAGATTGCCCGATATTGCAAGCTGCTCTCAAGTCTGGCACGGCCACGCTCTCACCTCTGTCTGCACCGCGGCCACTGCCCACCCCTGGGGAAGAAGGCACACTGTCTGCCCGCAGCTGGGCATTCCCGCCCAAATTTAGTGAAGTCAGACTTTTAAAAATTACTAATGAGAAACTGAATGCAATAAGAAGGCCGTTGTGTTTGACCCTGGCCTCCGTCACGATGCTTGGTTTACTCTAGAGCCAGCAGGTGGTTTCCGGAGCAGATGGCGCTGTGGACTGAATCGGCAGACACAGCTCTCGTCTTAAATCTTCACCCGCAAGAGTTAACCTTTCCAGTAAACAGCCGCTCCCCAGGAGAAAGCTTGTAACTTTCAGGGTTTTGTTTTGGGGACCTTTGAAAACCATCGACCCACTACAAAGAATGTTTCTGCAAATAAGAAAAAAAGTTTTAGATCTTAGGATGTAAAGTTTCAAAAAAACATAACACCTTTCTTAAAAACATAACGCCCTCTTCCCTCCGGAGTGGCTCGGAAGTAGTGCGGCTGCAGAGCTCAGCTCCTCTGAGCATTCAGCTCTCTATTCCCCTGGAGCTGCCTGAAGTGCTGTTCTCCATAGTTCACAGAGGAATTCTGTTCCCAAGTCCTTTCATAAACGCCCAGAAAGAACCATTTAAAAATGTGTTCATTTGTTCATTTCCTGTTTAAACACTTCCTGAGCACCTGGCTTGGGACAGGTCCTGTGCAAGGAATTGGAGATGGGGAAGTGGTGCCTGTTACCTAAGAAAAAAATCAAACTTGGGAACATAAAAATGTTAATATTGTTATAGCCAATCTTCTCATGAACAGATGAAGAAGCTGAGGCCCAGAGAGAGCTACATGATTTAAATTGGAATTAAATTAAAAACAGTGTATTGGATTTACAAAGGCAATTTGCATGGAAATACTCTTGATGTACCAAGCACTTCTTTTATATTGAGTTAAGAATCTTTTAAAATATATTTTTCTTGATTTCAGAGAGGAAGGGAGAGGGAGAGAGAGATAGAAACATCAGTGATGAGAGAGAATCATGGATAGGCTGCCTCCTGCATGCCCCACACTGAGGATCGAGCCCACAACCCGGGCATGTGCCCTGACCGGGAATCTAACTGTGACCTCCTGGTTCATAGGTCTATGCTCAACCACTGAGCCACACAGGCTGGGCAGGAATTTTTTTAAAATGTTCTAAAATTAACCAATAAGGTCAGTGCTCCATGTCCTGGACTGATGCCACAGCACTGCCCTTTGTTCCTGGCCCCGGGCCACGGTCTGCCTGGGCAACTGGCAGCCCCAATGGCCTGGTTCGCAGTTAGCGTAAGGGGTTCAGTGCCTACTGACTCATGTACTTTGGGTGCCCATTTGTTCAGATACTGGGTCTCAGCCTTTTGCTGTAGAACATCACTATTTATGTTAAACTAATTTTTCAATATTTTGAATTACATATTTACATTCTTGATATTTAAAATGAGTGTCAGTGGTTTCTAGGAATTTTAACTATAAAGAGTCCTATCTGGATTTCTTATTAGTTTGAAAGTAAATAAAACCTTGAATTATAGTAAAAACATTTTTATTTCATTAGCTTTAGCAAGAGCATCCTGGCCCCTGCTGGGGGCTCTGGGAACTGCATCACTGTACCAGCCATTTTTCTAAGGTCACAGGACTTGTTTAAACTGTGAATTCAGTTTATGTATCTTCTCTCCTTTTTGTAACAAACAGAAAATTATTGAATAAAGTCTGTAAATAAGGCATTACTATTATTAAGGCTCCAAATCTGGGTTAAATATTGGACATATGTACATGATACAATAAATTTAAATCTGTAATACAATCAAATTTTCTACCTTAATTTCACATGTTGAAGAAATCTAATATGTTTCATCTCCACTCAAATTCAGAGGAGAAATATGATGAGAATGGATTAAATTTAAATACTTGGTAAAGAGGAATAAAGACTCTACTTAGAAAAAGGCATAGTTGTCATTATTTTTGCAGATGGTATAACTTAACACCTGTAAAAATCTAAAGAATCCACTGAAAATGTATATGCAACAAATTAAGGAAGTTGGCCTGTTACACAACTAATACACTCTGAAATCATAGATTCTTTATGCAAAAGTAAGAAAATGTAATGAACAAAGTAGATACCATTCAAGATAACAGCCCAAACTAAGCCACACGCCACACACACACACACACACACACACACACACGCACACACACACGCGCCCGTTAGAAGTGCTCAGGCTCTACCTCAGTGGCTCTTCATTAACCCTGACTGGGTTAAGCTCTTAATAACACGCACGCCTGCGCTCCACACCAAAACAATTGTGCTGTTGGTGATGGGGCCTCGACATCTGTATTTTTAAACCACCCACATGATTATAATGTACAGCCAGGGTAGAGAACCACTGTTCCATATGAGGAAATATTAGAACAAGCAATAAATATAAAGACACATCTTCTTGAATAGGAAGACTCAATGTTGTAAAAATTCAATTTTCTGTAGTCAATAAATGCCATGTAATTTCCATAAAACATCAATGGATTTTTAAACACAACAAGTATTTCAGAATAGCTAGGTAAACTTTGATAAGGGAAAGAAATGAGAGGGACTAATATTAATGGATATATGAAACTAAGATGGCGGCATAGGTAAACACCGGGAAATTGTCGCCTCACACAACAATTGAAAATTACCGCAAAGGACTGAGCAAACATCATCCAGAACAACAGAAAGGCTGGCTGAGTGTAAATTCTACAACTAGAAGGAAAGAAAAGCACGCTGAGAGCCAGAGGCGCTGCGGAGGTGAAGTGCAGAGGTACGGTGGCTCGCGCGTGCGAGGAAAGGGGGTGGCACCTGAGGACGCGGCTGTCTTTTTGAATCACAAGCTCCCGACTGCTCTGAACTCCGGTTCCGGGAAGTCTCTGGAGACCCAGGACTCATACGGGGAGAAGCTGGTCTGTCCGGCAGCGGGCGAACTTGAAGGCGGCTTTCCCTCATAGGTTCTTGCAGCAATTAGCGGGTCACTGAGACCCGCGACTCCCGGGCGGAGAATCAGCCATAGCTCCTTGATCCGCCCTTGGATTCCCTGAGACCCCGCCCCACCCAGGCTGCGGCAGAGGCTTTTGCATGTGAATGTACCTAACTGCAGCCGAGCCAGGCAGACCCGGAACTTCCAAGAGAAGGCCCAAGGCCCCGCAGCGGCTTGCATTGCTTCACAGCTGAGCCTCTTTGTGGCTCCTGCTGTGTGGCCTCAGGCAGAGGCTGAATTAGCACCTCCTTAGATCCAGGAGCCACTGTATCCAGTGGTCAGAGGGGGACCATCCAGACTGCAACTCCTCAGATCCATAAGGGACACACTCAGGGAGCAGACTCAGTGAGCACCAAAGCCCCACTGAAGCAAGTCTTGTCCCAGAAGGGTGTCTTCAGCACAGAAGTTCTCCCACTTTAGACACAGCTGATTCTCACAGCCAATTGGCCTGGAGGTCAATTCCTCCCAGTGATTCTACAACAACCAAGGCACCAAGAGTGCACCAAGAGTGTCCACCCTAGGTAACTGGGGAGGCTGAGCTACTGGGCCCTACAGGACACCTGGCGCGCAGGGCCACTCTAAAAAACACAGGGAAGCTGCCAAAATGCGGAGACAAAGAAACAGGTCACAAATGGCAGAAATGGAGGAAAGCAAATGATTGGATATAGAGTTCAAGGCCACATTTATAAGGTTTTTCAAGAATTTTATGGAAACCGCCGATAAATTTAATGAATCCCTCAATAAGTATAGTGAGACCATGGAGGACATGAAAAAGGACCAACTAGAAATTAAGCATACACTGACTGAAATAAAGAATAATTTACAGAGATCCAACAGCAGAAAAGAGGATCCCAAGAATCAAGTCAAAGATTTGAAATACAAAGAAACAAAAAATACCCAACCGAAAAAGAAAAAAGAAAAGAGATTCCAAAAATATGAAGATAGTGTAAGGAACCTCTGGGACAACTTCAAGCGTACCAACATCAGAATTATAGGGGTACCAGAAGGAGAGAGAGGGCAAGATATTGAAAACCTTTTTGAAGAAATAATGACAGAAAACTTCCCCTACCTGGTGAAAGAAATGGACTTACAAGTCCAGGAAGCGCAGAGAACCCCAAACAAAAGGAATACAAAGAGGACCACACCAAGACACATCATAATTAAAATGCCAAGAGCAAAAGATAAAGAGAGAATCTTAAAAGCAGCAAGAGAAAGACAGTCAGTTACCTACAAGGGAGTACCCATATGACTGTCAGCTGATTTCTCAACAGAAACCATGCAGGCCAGAAGGGAGTGGCAAGAAATATTCAAAGTGATGAATAGCAAGAACCTGCAACCAAGATTACTTTATCCAGCAAAGCTATCATTCAGAATAGAAGGTCAGATAAAGAGCTTCACGGATAAGAAAAAGCTAAAGGAGTTCATCACCACCAAACCAGCATTATATGAAATGCTGAAAGGTATTCTTTAAGAAGAGGAAGAAGAAAAAGGAACTCTTGCCATTTGCCACAGCATGGATGGAACTGGAGAGCGGATAGATACCACATGATCTCACTCATTTGTGGAATATAATGAACAACATAGGCTGATGAATAAGGACTGATCCAGAGACGGAGAGGCATTGATTGGACTGTCAGGACTTGGAGGGAGGGTGGGGGAGGGTGAGGGTAAGGGGGAAAGATCAGCCAAAGGACTTATATGCAAGCATATAGGCCTAATCAATGGACATGGACAACGGGGGGGTGAGGGCATGAGCGGGGGGTGAGGGGGGTAGAAGGTAACGTGGGGACAAGGACACATGTAATATCTTAATCAATAAAAAATATATTTAAAAAAATATTAATGGATATGAAAACAGTTTAAGAATCGGTATTTTTTTTTAATTAAATCTTTATTGTTCAGATTATTACATTTGTTCCTCTTTTTTTTCCCCCCATAACTCCCCTCCTCCCAGTTCCCGCCCCACCCTCCGCCCTCACTCCCCACCCACTGTCCTCATCCATAGGTGCACTATTTTTGTCCAGTCTCTTCCCGCATCTCCCACACCCCTTTCCCCCCCAGGAATAGTCAGTCCATTCCCTTTCTATGTCCCTGATTCTATTATAATCAACAGTTCATTCTGTTCATCAGATTATTTATTCACTTGATTCTTAGATTCACTTGTTGATAGATGCATATTTGTTGTTCATAATTTGTATCTTTACCTTCTTCTTCCTCTTCCTCTTCTTAAAGGATACCTTTCAGCATTTCATATAATCCTGGTTTGGTGGTGATGAACTCCTTTAGCCTTTCCTTATCTGTGAAGCTCTTTATCTGACCTTCAATTCTGAATGATAGCTTTGCTGGATAAAGTAATCTTGGTTGTAGGTTCTTGGTATTCATCACTTTGAATATTTCTTGCCACTCCCTTCTGGCCTGCAAAGTTTCTGTTGAGAAATCAGCTGACAGTCGTATGGGTATTCCCTTGTAGGTAACTGAGTTTCTTTCTCTTGCTGTTTTTAAGATTCTCTCTTTATCTTTTGCTCTTGGCATTTTAATTATGATGTGTCTTGGTGTGGTCCTCTTTGGATTCCTTTTGTTTGGGGTTCTCCGCGCTTCTTGGACCTGTAAGTCCATTTCTTTCACCAGGTGGGGGAAGTTTTCTGTCAATATTTCTTCAAATAGGTTTTCAATATCTTGCTCTCTCTCATCTTCTGGCACCCCTATAATTCTGATGTTGGTACGCTTGAAGCTGTCCCAGAGGCTCCTTACACTATGCTCGCATTTTTGGATTCTTTGTTCATTTTGCTTTTCCGGTTGGGTGCTTTTTGCTTCCTCGCATTTCAAATCATTGACTTGATTCTTGCGCTCCTCTGGTCTGCTGTCGGGAGTCTGTATAATATTCGTTATTTCAGTCCGTGTATGCTTAATTTCTAGTTGGTTCCCCAATATAAGATCGAGGGTCTCATTAGTTTTCTTGTAGATCTCATTAAGTTTATCGGCGGCTTCTAAACAGTTCTTGAGAGACCTTAAAAGTGTGGTTCTGAACTCTATATCTTCCATTGACAATTTTGTCCTGTTTCTTTGTCTCCGCATTTTGTTATGCTTCCTTGGTGCACCCCCTAGTGGTCTTTGTTCGCAGTCTTATAGTTAAATCTTGATTGTTGTAGCTAATTCCAGGGAGGGTTTGACCTCCAGGCCAAGTGGCTATGAGAATCAGCTGTGTCAGCAGTGAGAGAACTTCTGTCCTCTAGGGAGGTGCTAATCTAGCCTTTGCCTGAGGCTATCCGGCAAATGCCTGTGTGCAGGGCTTGGGCCGGTCGGGTCGCACAGGATCAACAGGGTGGGCCGGAGAGAGCAGTTATGGCGGCTCTCAGTCCTGTCCCCAGGGGCTCTGCCTCTCTGAGTCCCAGCACCCGCTGCAAAGCTCGGAGAGAAAGCTGCACTCGCTCTGACCGAAGCCAGACAGCCCCGCTTCTCCCGTTTGAGTCTGGGTCCCTAAAGACTCGCCCGGATCTGGAGCTCAGAGTCTGCGACTCCCTCCCGATTGAAAACGCCAACCGCGCCCTCCGCCGCCAGCCCGCTCTCGAACTCCGCACCTCAGAATTTGACTTCAGCACTGCGCCTCCTCTGAGTGTCCGTATGCGTTTCTCTTTCCTCCTAGTTGTAGGACTTCCACTCAGCCAGCGTTTCTGTGGTTCTGGGTGATGTCCCTTCCGTTTTTTGGTTTCACTTTTGAAGTAGTTGTTCAAAGCAGCAAACTCCGGCGTTAACCTATGCCGCCATCTTGGTTCTCCCAAGAATCGGTATTTTTATGTTTTTATTTTAAATACATTTTTATTGTTGATAGTACCTACCATTTTTCCCCCTTTACCCCCTCCTCCCAGCCCCGACACCCCCGCCCCAGGTCATCACTACCCTATTGCCTGTGCCCGTGGGCTGTGCCTGTAAGTATAAAAGTTCTTTGAAGAACTCATATTTTTTAAACAGCATGGGCTTAATAGAAGAATAAAAAGAAAAGTGAAACCAAAAAAAGTGTAAAAAAAACCAGACTCAGCAAGTAAGCAAACTATATAGGTGAGGACTACAGACGTGTCGTTCTAAGTCAGGCCGTTAGAGAGACGGCTGGGCATTGGTGTCGGGACAGAGAGTGGCCCTGCGGACCGCTGGCCCCTCGACTGCGCGCTCCGTGGAGACAGGTACAACCTCCTATTCATCAAACATTTATACCTCAGAAGTGAGGACAGAAAAGTATGAGGGTTTCTCTCCACCAGGTGTAAATGTCTGCGTGGCTCCATGCATTCTCAGCATGAATTAGTTCCAGGATCTCTTCCACGATGAGATTCGAAACCAATGAGGCACATGTACCAGTCTTGTCTCGGGCACCTCACCCATGTGCCTACATAAAAATGTCAGCATGTTGAAGCAGACCTCGGAGTCATGCACCAGCAAAATGTGTCCTAATTGTTCTTGTGATTATTTTCTTCATCTGTTGGTTATTATCAAATATTTGTTTAGTTTCCAAGTATTTGGAGATTTTTAAAATATATTTTTGTTATTGATTTTTAATTTAATTCTCTTATAATCAGAGAACATACCCTTGACCGGAATCGAACCCGGGACCCTTCAGTCCACCGGCCGATGCTCTATCCACTGAACCAAACCAGGTAGGGCCCCAGTATGTTTTTATTCCTTGTACATGGATGGAAGCTGCTTTTGTGGGACAGCAGGTCGTCTGCCTGGCCGAATGCTCATGAGCACGTGGAGAGAATGTGTATCCTGGTGTTGTGTGTGTGACTCAGTGTCCATTAGGTCAAGTGAGGTTGTTTAGGTTTTACAAGTCCTTGCTTATCAGCAACCTACTTGTTCTACAATTACTAGGTGAAGTGTTGAAGCCTCCAGCTGCAAGGATGGATCGATTGATGTTCTTGCTGTTCTATCAGGTTATGCCTCCTGTGTTCTGAAGCTCCGTGACCGTGTCGACACATGCATTTCTACAGGCAGGTGAGCTGGCTTCTTTGTCATCATGAAATGTGCCTCTTTTTTTTTTTTTGACAGAGAGGAAGGGAGAGAGATAGTTAGAAACATTGATGAGAGAGAAACATCGATCAGCTGCCTCCTGCACACTCCCTACTGGGGATGTGCCCGCAACCAAGGTACATGCCCTTAACCGGAATTGAACCTGGAACCTTTCAGTCCACAGGCCGACGCTCTATCCACTGAGCCAAACTGGAAATGTGCCTCTTTATCTCTGGTAATAGTCCCTCTTCTGCAGTCTGCTCTGTGTGGTGCTAATGTAGCCATTCTGCTTTCTTATGATTTGTGTTTGCATGGTATATCTTCTTCCATACATTTACTTTCAACCTACATGTGTCTTGATTGTAAATTCTCTGATACAGACGTCACTTCTTATCATTTTATAAAATTGTCCTTTTTCTCAGTTACATGAAAATATTAGCTGACTTTATGTGTAGAAGGATGCAGGTGTTTTCTAATCCTCACCCGAGGAGAGAGAGAGAGAGGGAGGGGAGGGGAGGAGAGGGGAGGGGAGAGAGAAACAGTCATGGTTGCCTTCCATACGGGCCCCCACTGAGGCTCAAACCCTCAACCCAGACAGGTGCCCTGACCAGGAATCGAACCCGTGACCTTTTGGTACACAGAAGGACATTCAACCAACTGAGCCACTCCGGCGGGCAAAGGACGCTGTTTTCTAACAAATGTTCTCAGTGGTGCATTACTTAGCAGAAGTGCAAGTGTTCTGAAAGTTAATGTCATGCTGTGCTAAGTAACAAAACGGTCACAAAGGCACAGCCCATGGCCTCCCACCGCCGGGGGCAGGCCGCCTTGGAGCAGGCCTGGTCGCACAGAAGGCGAGTGCTCTGAAGACAGAGCTGCTGGCTGGCAGTGCCGTGGGCAGAGGGCTCTGCCCGGGGGAGGGGCCAAGGAGTTGTCACAGAAGAGATGACGTCTGAACTCCTTCCTAAACGGGGGGCACGAGTTTGCAGGCGAATGAGGTGATCTCCACATAAAGGGCCTCGTACAGGGCCAGGCACATGGTACGACCCATGGACGCCGGTTCTGGTTCTGGTTCTGGTCGGGATGTGGCCCAGGCCAAAGCCGCAGGTCAGCTCATTCCAGGGAACACTTACCGGGGGCCTCATATACGTCAGGCACGGGTCCAGGCTCCGCCGGCCTAGGTGCCAAGTACACCCTGTGAAGACAGATAATTCCACAAGGGTCTGGTGTGAGCGTGTCCAGGACGACTATTTATAGGTTTGCTCTCGGGACGGAGCGGGGATGTTTGTGTGAACATGGCTGGCACGTTCCTACTTGCCTGCGGCCCCCACACCAGCACAGGCAGCCCTGCGGGGGCAGCTGAGGGCAGGCTGGGCCTGGCTTCAGAGGAGGGCGGACGGTCCAGCCTGCCCCCGGGGTATGGTCACTGGGATCTGTGCTCAGGTCTGTCCAGGCAACAGCTTTCCCTCACAACATGGATGGATGAGTCCAGACGCCTGCATTGCTGTCCCCGGCCATGACCCGGAAGGATCCACCTGCCCCCTCGTCGTAGCTCACCCCGGCCACCCATCCCCATGCTCTCCTGCAGGAATGAATGGGACCTGTGCCCTTATCTGCAGAGATTATGCTAAACACAGGGCCTGCGCGTGTCTGCATCTGAAGTAGAATGTTTGTCATGTCAGGGGCAGTCTGTGGCGTGTCCAGTGGCAGTCCTGCTGGCATAGCTGGTTTCAGAAAACAGCAGGAAGGTGCCAAGTGTTTCACCAGCGTTTCATTTCACCTCACAGCGATTCCATCAGGTAGGAGTTATTGTAACTACTATGCACATCGGGAGACTGAGGCACAGAAATGTAACTTATCAAAGACTAAGCATGGCAGCCAGGGTTTGAAACCAGGTCTCTCCCACGCTGACCGGCTTCCTTCTACTATCACAGCAGCAGTTGTAATGCGGCTGTTGGCTGTGCTTCTGCCGCGCGCCACACACAATGTGAGATGCTCACATGCATCCTCTCTGACCCTCAGGACTTTTCTTCACTACAACATTCAAAGCACTGACTGCCTTGCTGGGAGTCACACGGTCAGGCCAGCGTTCTAGCCGCACGCACATCCTGGGACCCGGAGCCGCTTTCTTTCTCCTGCCTGCCCTGGGTGTTTGTAAAGCCCTGCCCCCATCTGACTCACCCAGTAGCCAGGTGCTTCTAAGGTGCTGCTTGTTGTGAGCCCAGAGCTCTACACGGCAGTGACCGAGCAGCAGCAGGCACGCCTTTCTCTCTCTCTCTCTTTCTCTCTCTCTCTCTCTCTCTCTCTCTCTCTCTCTCTCTCTCTCTCTCTCTCTCTCTCTGTGTGTGTGTCTCGGTGGGAAAGGCCGCTGCAGGCTGTTGTCAGGTGGCTGTACTTTCCTGGGAAGAGCTGAGACCTGGAGGCAGGTGCCTGGGCTGGGAGGAGGCAGGCCGAGCTGTGACCTTTGCTTTGACTCCCGCTGAGGCCGGGCAGGCTGCTGGCATCTGTGCAGGACTGACTGGGAGAAGGGGAGGTGCCTGGAGAACTGGAGGGGGGCGGCCTCCTTCGGGGAGGTGTCTGCGCACCGCGCAGTGAGAGGCCCCGGGAAAGCGCTCGTCTTCCTGTCACCCTGACCGTAAACCACCCCCTGCCAAGCACCCTGGGCAGCCAGGGCCCTTCCCTGATGCCACAGGGGACCCTTCACTGTCACACCACGGGGTGTGCTGAGGGAGGGCCAGGAGGGGAGGCACCAGGGTGGGGGGTGCATACGTGGGAGGGAGGAAAGGGTGTCTTATGTCCTGTATCAGCTTGAAGTCTGGTTTACGTAGAAACAATGTCTGGGTGTTAGCTTGGCTCTTGGTTGTTCATTACATACAGCCTATTCATAATTTTCCCAGGAACGTACTATATTTCATATACAAACAGCACTGCGTTTCATGCCCTTTCGGGTCCAGTAGATTCTGAGGAATCAGAGTGGAGGCGTGGCCATCATTTAAAACGTTTCTGGGACAAATCTGGGGTCACCACTGGGACTCCAAGAAATCACTTCTCTCCCCTCCAACTGCCTAGCAGTAGAGCACCCACTGGGGGCCCAGGGAGGGGAGGAGCAGCTCAAAGCTGGGTGCCCTCTGCTTTGATCACAACTCAGTGCCAGTGGTCAGATCACAGCACGCTGGCAGCCATTTCTTCCCTCCCCTCGTGTCCTCCCCCCTCCCCCCCCCCAAGCAGCCTGCCGTGTGATATGAGCATGTAGGGCCGCTCTCCCTCCCATGGGGTAGGGTCCAGTCATGAATGGAAACCGGGACGTTGGTCGCCCACACGCAGTGACAAAACGCTCCCGAGATCACCTACTGTCTCCGGGATAAGGCGCATTTCAATGACTACACTTTAGGAGACCAAGTGGCCGTTGCAGGGAAATATCGGGGCAGGAACTTTGCTATAAGGGCTGTGGGGTGCTTCCGATTACCTGGAAAGCTGACGGGAAGAAAACGACAAACTCCGGCATTTACACTTGCAGCCTGGAGCCCTGTGAGAGTCAGAACGCTTCCCTGACTCAGGTCTTACATCAACAGGGCTGAGGGACCCAAAAAACAAGCCAGGATTGATCCGCAGCTTTATGCATCACCACGCAGGGCTTCCGGGCATGACGAGGAGAGTGGGGGCCTGGGTAGGTTCTAACGAGACCAGCTACCTGGAGCCCCCAAATTCCACTGAGTCTTTGTTGTCAGCAAAAGCAATCTGCCTCCTCCGCCTGATCATCTCAGCCTCCCTTTGCTGGTAACCGGTTTTAATAGAACCTGAAGTTGCCGATTTGACCATGATGAGTCTCCTCAAGGTCAATCCCATGCTCCTCACTGCCTCCAGACCCAGGCCCATCTCGTGGTAGGTTCAGATCCTGAAAGACTCCAGGGGAGAAGGGGAAAAGAGAAAAACTGGAAAACATGCATGATGAATACAGTCCTCATTTCTGCAGTTCATGGGCCAAAGCTCGTATTTGCCCCACTCCCGTCCCCTGTCCCCTGTGTCCTCAGCTCCCACGGTAGAGGGCTGTGATGGTTAGCAGCCAGGGTGACCAAAGTCCCACTCCCGGGAGATCTGGGCCGTCGGTGGGTCTTTCTTGGCTTGGGTTGCTCTCATCTCCCAGGAGCTGGGAGTCATCCTGAAAGTCGCCCAGAGAGTCCCTGGCTCCCAGGCAGTCCTCCCTCCCTTCGCTGTGCAGCACCAGCCCTTTTTCTACTGTATAATCGGGGCCACTTGCCCCAGTGAATACAGTAACCCCTTCTTTGCTTGTGCTTCGAGTGGCTGACGAGGCACCCTCGGCTTCCATTCGGCGGAATTCTGATGTTTTTTAGAGGAAGTTTCCTCCCTAGGGAACTAAGAGCCCAGCATTGTGTGGGTGGAAACAAAGGTGTGTGAGTAGGTCATTAGGAACTGCAACGAAGGGTCCAGCGTTACTTCCACATGTTGGCCCGTGGAGCTGTGTTCTGGCCATGGAAGAAATAACACTATGTCCGAGTTGGCTCAGAGAACATAGTGTTACTGTGTGAGTTCCCCAGTCCCACTGGTGTCAATAGAAGCGAGCTGTCAATCAAATCATCCCCCTTCTATCAAGTCAGCTTCTTCCTACGGACACCGAGCATTTATTCACATCTGATTCTCTACAGGGAGCTCCTGAGCCAGACGCTGCATTTATGGGGACCTCGGGGAGCGAACGCAGCAAGCTGTAGCCATGGGCAGTGGCGCCAGGAGAAACCACCGCAGGTCAGAGGCGCGGCCCTCTTCCGGTAGGTGTCTTTCCTCCAGGATGTGAGGGCTCAGCGTGGCCGCAGCAGCAGGTGGCTGGCGGGCCCTGGGTGGGGTCGTTCAGGAGCCAGTGGGGTCTGGTGGTGGTGAGCGGGCACTTGGCAATGACAGCAGCCACGTGGGCCTAGAGAAAGGGAGGCTGGTGTTCTTAACCCGCTGCTGCCAGGGCCATGGTTCACCGAGCCCATTGTCTGCGCGCCAGGGGAGCTGGGAGAGATGCTGGCGGACATCCACAGGCCGGTCCTACCCGGGGGAGTCAACCTAGCTGCTCTTATTCCCGTTTTAAAGAGGACAGCACCGCAGTGGGGAAGGACCAAGAGGCTTTGCCAAAGGTTCCTTCTGCCTGGGAATGTAAGCAGGAGCCAGGATCCTGCCGTCTTGTCCAGTGACTGGAGAATGCATGCCCAAACCCCGGGGTCACGAAGTGCCGGGGAACTCGGATTTATGGAGCAGAGGAGAGGTATTTCTTATCTTTTTTGAGGGTTTTTGTTGTTACTGTTAACCCTCACCCCAGGGTATTTTTCCATTGATTTTTAGAGAGAGTGGGGGGAGGGAGAGAGACAGAGAGAAACATCCATGTGAGAGAGAGACATTGATTGACTGCCTCCCGCACACACCCCGACTGGAGCGAGGCTCGAGCCTGCAACCGAAGTCCGAGCCCTTGACAGGAATCTAACCCGAGATTCAGTCCAGGGCCAGCACTTAACCAGGAGCGCAGTGGCCAGGCAGAGAGGTATTTCCTGGTGGAAGAAGCGGAGAGCGCTCGGGAGCGGGGGAGGAGCGGCCAGGCTTCTCAGAAAACCCAGTAGAACAGCGTTGCCACCTGTGTGCCCCATTCTCACTGCCGTACCAGGAGCGTTTAGAGGTGGAGAAAGGGAAGGACATCAAAAGCAACTAAACACCAAAGAAACATTTCAAAAAGAACAACATCGCAGAGATGGGGCCATCGGTACCCTAGGAAGGAAGAACCGCTAACAGTCCAAAAGCAAGCCGCAGCCTGGCGTGAAGTTTGTATAAACTCAAAAGGGCCAAAGCGGGAAGAAAAAGTGTCATGTGAGTGTCGATTAGAAGATCAGAAATCCCTCTTCTCAGCAAACGTGAGTCTGAGTCACCAGATCAAGTGGATGGTTTGTTTTAAAACCAGCGCAAGCTCCCGCGCCGCTGCCTGGCCTCGCTGTTCCGTGTGTCGCAGATCCTGTCGTTTGTTATGACAGGGAGCCCCACCTGCATAAACAGCCAAGAGCCGGGCAGAGGTCTTCGTTTCCCGGCAACCCCAGGCCTGCGACCTACAGCAGGCACTTCACCTCTTCGGGCCACAGGCCTGTTCCATCAATTTGAAATCAGAGACAAGGCTAAATGTCCGCTCAGCCTCCTTCCAGCTTCCAGACTCAATTATTCTATGGAAACTGCGGTTGCTCTTCCCAAGCCTTTCAGCGGTTCTCACCCTCCCTAACGCCGCGGCCCTTTAACACAGGTCCTCATGTTGTGGTGACCCCCAATTTCATTGTTACAAATTGAACATAATGAAAGCATAGTGATTCATCACAAAACAATGTGTAATTATATATGTGTTTTCCGACGGTCTTGGGTGACCCCTGTGAAAGGGTCGTTCGACCCCCAAAGTGGGCGCGACCCACAGGTTGAGAACCGCTGCTTGTTGTGGGCTCTTGAGTTTATAGATGAAAAAATGGCACCAGCAGGGGTCACTGCAGGCACGCGGAGCCCTCGGCTGATCTTCCTGTTGCCTGGAATCACAGGGGCCTTTGTCCCGATTCCCCTCAGCGGCTCATAGACCCTGTGTCCCGGGGGTTATCTGACTTGATCTTAAATGCACTCAGAACACCCATCCCAAGTGCTGTCTTAGTCTTGTTTCTTTTCCTTGATTTTATTTGTTTTTCCTGCCGGGAGATCATTTTCCTCCGTGGACTCTGAGGTCCTCCTGGATAATGTGTTTGTTCAGTTAGCTGTGCTGGCTCTTTCACCTCCGAGAATGGTGGTGGATATTAAATAGTGTCTACGTCTTTAACTGTAGGAGATTATATTCTAACAAACACACACAATTCAAGTCTCTCCGGAGGGGGCTTTCTTAAAGCCTCTGAGCACCTCTAGAGTCGGTCCCCCGTCCCTGGGGTTGCTAGCGTTCTCTTCATTGCTCGCACTCCCCAGGCTATTCTGCTGTGTACATGAACTCCGAGGGAGTCAGGCATCCATCCACGAGCAGGTGAGGTTTTCAATGACAGTTCTAACTTCAAATATCCGGTCTATTGTCAAATTATACGTTTTTGCTCCGAAAACATAGTAACTATCCATCTAACATAGAGCAAGCCTGTCAAACTCACAGCTCGCGGGCCACATGTGGCCCACAACTAATATTTTTGCGGCCCAGCCAATATGATGGTATGTAAGAAACATTTTAATAAAAATTTCATAACTTAATTTTTACATTATCCTGTTATACATAATTATTTTTTTATTTTTTTTCTTGGAGGAGACGGGGAGGCGATCCTGTTATACATAATTATCAATAATGAACTACAACGCTCGCTAATGACTGATTACTATAATCGTGTTGCATTCATTTCCCTTATGCACAGGTGCACCATTTATCTCCACTAATACTAACAGCAAATATTCTAGCAGCCGATGGCCACATCATTAGTCTTGGACTGACTTGTTTGGTGTGCGCAACAGGAAATATTTCGCTTTTGGAGAACCAGAAAAATAGGTTTATTTGTGTTATGCTTGTTAATTTGTGCAGTTATTCAGTGCTGGTAAGTTAATGTTCAAGAAAAAATAATTTTTATTAAAATGTCCTATTTATGTTAATGATGACTCATTTATTTCAGCCCTTTGTATTCAGCATGTCACTATCGAAATAAACCTACGTTTCTATGAAAATGGAAGCTTAAACCTTGTAATTTGGCCCCTGTTAGCCTGCGAGTGTGACATGCTTGATGTAGAGAGTCAGGGCTACTGTGTCTATGATGCTGAAAGGTAGGCACCCAGCAAAGTCAGGGTCATCCCAGAAAGTCAGAGACTCCCCAGAGGCCTGTCTTAGAATTCAGTCCTTAGTCTTGCTTGTTTGTTTTTAAGTCCTTAGTCTTAAATCCTGAATCTTGGGACCCTTTAGAACTCCAAAGAGGTTCCGTCTGCCCCAAAGCCTCTCTCCAAACTCCATCATGTGTTTATACAAAACCTGTCGATGGCTACATTGTGCCAGGAGCCAAAGAAACGGAACTCTGGTGCCACAAAGAGCAATTTCTCTGGCTCTGTGGCCTGATGGATGTGGCACCCCGTCATGACACTCCATGTCCACAGTGGTGCTTAACAGGCGATGCTCTCTGGACCACACGTAGACAGAGGCCACAGCCATGGTTGAAAGGATGTAGACAGGACACACATGCACATCAGGGCACTAGAGGAATGTTTACAGTAGAAAAGATCGCTAAATATGAAACTAAACTAATCATACATGAGGCAAGAATAAGGAAATAAATCATCTTGGATGCCTGGTAACATAGGTGGGGAAGCCAGAGGGTGTTAAGGTTGTAGAGTGAAGATTTGCACTCGCCACCTCCTATTTTTAAACTGATGCCTGGAGTGGGGTAATGTCTTGTCTCCCTGCCTTCATTTCTTCACCCATGATGTTGCTTCATTTTGGGGTCATTTTTATGTGTGTGATCTCTTCCTTTTCATTATCTTTTGGGAGTAAGTGTCCTGTGATTCCAAGGTCAAGTTTGGCCCCGTGTGTGATGGTTCAAAGGTCGCTAACAGATTCCAAACACAGCAGTCAGGGGTTTCTCCCCTGGGGCTGCCCTCCCCGGCTGGGGAGCCTGACCCTGGGACCTACAGAAGGTGGGGAGGGCGGAGGCTGTCAGAAAGGCAAGCGAGCTACTCACCCCTCACTCCAAGCTCCAAATCGGGCAGGAAGGGCCTGCCCCTGCCCCTGTGTCCTCCAGGGTGGTGGCTGCACGTGGACAGCTCCCACGGCAGCGGCTCTGATGGCGGCTGGGCCTGGCCTGTCTGAGCCCGAAGCTCCCGCAGGAGTTCCCATCCTCCCTCAGTACGAGGAGGGCGCTCCTGGCTGCTCTGGTTGGACCGCAGGCTGTCAGAGGTTTGGAGAAGGCGGGCCTGTGGCTGGGAAGAGGGAGAGGCCTCAGCCACGGGACCTGTGGCCACACCTGTGGGCTTCCAGGCTGCCTTTCTCAGATGCGTTTCTTTTTTCTTTATTCTTTTTTTAAAATATATTTTATTGATTTTTTACAGAGAGGAAGGGAGAGGGATAGAAAGTTAGAACCATCGATGAGAGAGAAACATCGATCAGCCGCCTCCTGCACACCTCCTACTGGGGATGTGCCCGCAACCAAGGTACATGCCCTTGACTGGAATCGAACCTGGGACCTTCCAGTCCGCAGGCCGACGCTCAATCCCCTGAGCCAAACCAGCTAGGGCTCAGATGCGTTTCTTAATGAGCAGGCAGAGGGGACACCTGCGCCCGCCCGTGAGGTGTTCTGCAGTAACAGGGAGCATGTGTGCAAGGAGGCACGTCCAGGTCAACCGAAACAGTTTGAAGACCAACAATTACAGGCATCATTGGATGAAGATGCATGTCAAACTCATAAACAACTTGCAGAAAGATTAAATGTTGCTCAGCAATTTCCGATCGTTTACAAGCAATGGGAAGGATTTTAAAGGAAGGAAAATGGGTGCCGCATCAACTGAACAAAAGACAAATGGAAAACCGAAAAGTCATCAGTAAAATGTTGCTTCAATGGCACGAAAGAAAGTCTTTTTTGCATCGAATTGTGACTGGCGATGAAAAGTGGGTTTATTTGAGAATCCCAAATGCACAAAATCACGGGTTGATCCAGGTCAACCATCAACATCGACTGCAAGGCCAAATCGCTTTGGAAAGAAGACAATGCTCTGCGTTTGGTGGGATGGGGAAGGTGTGTTATGAGCTTCTAAAACCAGGTGAAACCGTTAATACTGATCGCTACCGACAACAAATAATCAATTTGAACCACTGTTTGATGGTGAAATGACCAGAATGTGCCAGAAGACACGGCAAAGTAATTTTGCTTCATGATAACACAATCACACACTTCAAACCAGTTAAAGACAAGTTAAAAGATCTTGCCTGGGAAGTATTAACCCACCCGCCGTATTCACCAGACCTTGTGCCTTCAGATTCCCACTTGTTCCAATCGATGGAACATGCACTTTCTAAGCAGCACTTCACAACGTACGAAGTGGAAAGCTGGGTCCCTGAATGGTTTGCCTCAAAACAAGAAAAGTTCTATTGGGACGGTCTCCACAAATTACCTGGAAGATGGGGGAATGTGTAGCTAGCGACGGACATTACTTTGAACAAAGCACTTTTGGTGTTTCTCTTGAGATTATTGTGTTTTCTTTGATTACAAAATCCGCACTATTAACCGGTCCACCCAGTATATGCTCTCAGCCTATGGACTATGTTCAGCTTCACGGAGTTGCTTTAGCTTCTCCTCTGGGCAAAGCTCCTCCCGCACCTCCAGCCACCGCACCGGTACCGCG